AGTCACGTAGAAGGGAAATAATAAAATAATATTAATATAAAACAATATTCTTTTATTATTTCCCTTCTACGTGACTTTACCGAAAGAACCAAGAATATAGGTGTTAAGATGTTAAAACACCAAACTGAAATTGTTTGCATTCTCACCACAAGTATTGTGGTTAATGCAGTTAGTTAACCATTGATCATTTATGAACAAATAAAGGTGCAGAATGCAGAAATGAGGAAAACATTTGGATAAAAGGACCCAATTGCTTGGTCGTTTTTAAAAATGGAGACTGCCCCAACATGGCGAGTTGTGGTGGGAAACTCCCTTCAATCTCTGTCCAGCTTGATGCAACTGATGACGTCACAAATATCTTCCTATCACCTCCCGTCCAGCGGGACGTGGGAACAGAGATGAGACTCCCCCCCCCCCCCCCCCCACTATTTTATCATTAGCTTAGCTGAATAGCACATTGTTCAACCAACACACTGCAGGTTGCAACACTTATTTTTTTGCCTTTCCCTTGCATGGATCAACTTAAGAATTCCCTCCCATCGTTTACTTCCCAAGTTCATATATCCTTGAGGATTGAAGAAACGGGTTAATTCTTATCTATTACATTTTTGGCATTTGAGCCAGTGCTCGACAATGATAATAAGAAAACCAATGATCGGTTAGAGTAATTAATTACTCATATAATAGCGCAGCTATATATATGTGTTTTTATGTAAGGCTGGATGGATACAAATGTGCCCGGTGGCCAAACAACGCCCTTGCTTTGCTGCTGAGAAACCACACATTATACGTCATCTTCCGTACAACATTACATTCTGTACTGGGGTATTTGTGAAAAACATTTAATTGCATAGTTTGTGAGCTTCCTCTTTCGGAGACATAATTTACCACAGTGGGCTTTCACTGCAGCTAAAGAAATTACTTGACAGGAAAAACAGCACTCCCACAGAACATTGCTTCTTGAGTAATTTTGCATTAGACAGCCTGTTGAACACAGCCTGTGGATTCCTGTGAGCTGGTGCCATTTGTATACTGGCGAATGCACGTAAAACATGTTACTGTTTGTAAAATGTTGAAACCAGAGCTTCCTTACTGAAACTAATGCTGCTCCTTACCGAAAGATCGTAACCTCATCATGGTGGTGGGGTTAGTGTGTTCCAATGACCCTCAGAGCTATGCCGCCTGGAGTCTTGTACTCCTGGTAGGGTCTCCCTTGGCAAACAGGTCTGGGGGGAGGTTCCAGACAAATAACGGTCCAAAACAAAGCCCCTTATGAATGGTTCTAATTTGAAAAAATCAGAGAACATCGCCCGGACAAGATATACCGGGACACCCCTTTGGAGCCAGGCCTAGGAGTGGCGTTCATCGGCAAGCGCCTGATGGCCGGGTGACCCACATAACCCGGTCAGGCCCAGCCCAAAATGGCTACGTGGCACCATCCTGTGGGCCCACCACCCGCAAGATGGCGGCTGCGATGCCAGCATGGCAGGGAGAGGGATGGTCTCGGACGAACTGGACCTTTGCAATGGACACTAGCTGTTGGGACGTGGAATGTCACGTCGCTGGGGGGGAAGGAGCCAGAGCTGGTGGAGGAGGTGGAATGGTATCGACTAGATATCGTCGGTCCCACCTCGACACAAAGCATTGGCACCGGAACCAAACTTCTCAATCAGGGGCGGTCTCTCTCCTATTCCAGAGTAACCCCTGATCAGAGGCCCTGGGCGGGTGTGGGGATACTCACAAGCCCCCGGCTGGGTGCTGTTCAGTTGGAGTTTGTCCCAGTGGATGAGAGTGTTACCTCAATGAGAGTTCAGGTCTCAGAAAGGACAACTATGACTGTTGCTGTGGTTATGCACCAAACAGCAGTTCAGAGTATCCGGCCTTCTTGGAGACGGTGTGTGCAGTGCTCGTTCGAGTGCCGCCTACCTACTCTGTAATCTTACCGGGCGACTTCAATGCTCACGTGGGCAACGATGGAGATAACTTGAGAGGCCTGATTGGGAGGAATACCCCCCCTGATCTGAACCTGAATGGTGATATGTTATTGGAATTATGTGCTAGTCACGGAATGTTAATAACAAAGACCATGTGTGAACACAAGGATGCTCATGAGTGTACTTAGTTCCAGAATACCTTGGGCCGAAGGTCAATGATTGACGTTATAGTTGTATCATCAGACCTAAGGCCGTATATTCTGGACACTCAGGTGAAGAGAGGGGCGGAGCTTTCAATTGATCAGCACCTGGTGGTAAGTTAGAGCCGGTGCATGGGACACCGACCAGATAGACATGGAAAGCCCAACTGAATAGTGTAGGTTTTCTGGGAACGTCTGGCGGAAGACTCAGTGCAGAAAGATTTCCACTGCCACCTCCAAGAAAACCTATCCTAAACTCCAGGGGAGGTCATGGACGTTGAGTCCGAGTGGACGATGTTTGTCAAGTTGAGGAAGAAGGTTTTCCAAGCTATGCTCGGACAAAAGATCTCCCGACTCGATTGAGAGGTACCGGCTTACCAAGAGAGTGGCAGCAGGAGCAGTCGGTGTAAAGCAACACCCCGGGTATGGGAAGTGTTTGGAGAGGCCAAGGAGAAGGACTACTTGGCAGCCTTAAAGATATTGTGGCAAATCATCCGATGCCTTAGGAGGGGTCGACAGAACATGCCCAGGCTGTTTTTAGTAAGGGTAACATAACATTGAACTCAACTAAGGTGGTAGTCGAGAGGTGGAAGGAACACTTTGAGGAGCTCCTCAACCCAGTCGACATACCCTTCTCTCAGGAGGCAGCCCTGGAAACAGCTGGGGGGTCGGATCCATCACGGCTGCTGAAGTCGCTGCGGCAGTCAAGAGTCTTTATAGCAGCAAAGCAGCTGGGGTGGCCGAGATTCGCCCAGAGTTGTTGAAAGTGCTCGACAGTGTGGGAGTGTCGTGGTTAACACAACTCTTCAATGTTGCATGGAAGGCGGGTACAGTACCTCTAGATTGGCAAACTGGGGTCGTGGTCCCCACTTTTAAGAAAGGGGATCAGAGGGTGCTCCAAATACAGAGGGATCATACTTATCAGCGTCCCAGGTAAAGCCTATGCCTATGATGTTAAATCAAAGTTGTTCACTGTGGGTGTTGGACTCCGCCAATGGTGTGTCTTGTCTCCGCTCCTGTGATTATGATTTTCATGGGCAGGATATAAAGACGCAAGCCGAGCTTTGGAGAGTAGCCAGTACGGAGGCATGGAGGTGGCGTCACTGTTTTTTGCAGATGATGTTGTCCTCTTTTTGTCGCCAGCCTGTGATCTCCAGCGTGCACTTGAACGGGTTGATGCTGAGTGTGAAGCAGCTGGGATGAGGATCAGCGCCTCCAAATCTGAGATAATTGTTCACTTCTAGGAGGTGGTGGATTGTGCTCCCCAGGTGAGGGGGGAAAGCTACTGTTAGTGGAGGAGTTTAAGTACTTCGGGGTCTCTATCACTAGTGATGGTAAGTGGGAGCAGGAGAGAGGCGGCATTCGGTGCAGCGTCTGCAGTGTTGCGGGCGGTGTACTGTTCCATGGTAGTCAAGCTGGAGCTGAGTTCTCGAACAAAGCTCTCGCTTTACATGTCGATCTACGTTCTCACCCTCACCTATGGTCATGAGCTTTGGGTAATGACCGAAAGAATGAGAACACGGGTACAAGGGACCAAAATTAAGTTTCCCCGCAGGGTTGCCGGGCTCACTCTCCGTGACCGGGTGAGGAGCTCGGTGATCCGGGAGAGTCTCAGAGTCAAGCCCCTGCTCCTTCGGATGAGGAGCCAGTTGAGGTGGTTCTGGCACCTGGTAAGGAATCCCCCCGGTAGATTCCCCCTGGAACTCTACCGGGCACGTCCCACTGGGCAATGACCCCGGGGCCGGCCCAGGACACGCTGGCAGGACTATGTCACTCGGCCGACCTGGGAACGCCTGGGATTTCCCCAGGAAGAGCTGGAGTCTGTCGCCAGGGAGAGGGTTGTCTGGACCACCCTACTCAACATGCTACCGCCACGACCCTCACCAGGACAAGTGGATTGAGAAACAAACGAATGAATTCTGCTTGATAATATTGATCTGAAAAGGCAATTTCCTGATAGACCAACAAATGTTAGGTTTACTATATGCCCACACATCCTTTGAATGTGATCGTCTATTCTCCTGCCACTCCCTCCAGCTAGGCAGAAAAATTGCTTTACAATAAAGTTAAAGTACCTGTCCTTGACCGACGATCCTCCCCTACCCCTAATATCTCCACCTGTGGGTGCCACCCTCTTTCGCATGACATCCCCTGCCCCCCCCGCCCCGCCCACGTATTGCATCCCCCATGCATAATTATAGTGCTCATCATGTAATAAGCCAACAGTTCATCCTGACATAAAATGTGACAGCGCTACCAATCTCATGGCAGAGTGTATAGGAAAGTGTCTCCCCTATTTTGTAAATACAAAAATCTTTTTCATAAGTGTAGGGGATGTCCGAGACATCCTCACGCAATCTCCGCACTCAACATATCACACACCAATCACATGCATGGGAATACACCGGACGGGGGTCAGGGGATTAAAGGGCACTGACGTCACACGCACACGGCGCGCGAGACAGAGATGTGGATTGGGAACGAGGGCGGAGATGGAGGGTTTAAAAGGGGCTGTTAAAGGTGTGTTCGAGGCTGTGGGTTGAAGACTAAAGAAATGCTTTAACCAGTCTCCGACTCCTCTTCATAAGTACTGATTACAAATTCACACGGTGCCACAGTGCTCTGAGAGTTCCAAATACAGTCGATACTTTCTCTCATAACATACCAATAGCACAATGGCAATAAAATAGAAAAATACCAAGATGATATATGTTAAAAATGTAACAACAAAGTTGCACAGCAACAATGCTGGTGAATGTTTTTGTGTCCAAAATTTGAGTAGTGTACAACCTACAGACATTCGCAGATACCATCTAACCCTCATCCAAACATGAACCCCTTGCAAAAAAGGGACATTTTAAGGCATTTACGAAATTGTTTGCCAAGTGGCCCATTTTCCAAGTGGCGAGATAGGGTCAGTGATGGTGAGCGCCACCATAGCGTGCTGCTCCACCCCAGTACCAATCCCCCCGCAGAGTCGGCGCAGGCTGCGAAATCGGCAGAGAGGTAGGTGGTGGCGCGTCCTGCCCACGGCACCACCAGCGCCTTGGAGCGGCACTGCAGAGCAGATACAGGCGCGGGCCCAGCGCACCCCATCCCCGCCTGTCCCCACTGGGGCACCAGCACTGCTCGGCTCGCCCTCTTGGCGGCCGCCAACATGGCCGACGTCAGCGGCACCTCTCCTGTTGCTCACGTGCATCTTGGCAGCGCGAGCGTTCATGGCGCTGAGCGCAGTCGTGCCCGTCTTACTGTCTGCGTAAGTCTTACTCTCCTGCGGCCATGGTCCTCCGCCTGCCAGCGCGCCTTCTCCCTGCAGGCGCAGCGCGGCCCCCGGTGGCGCGGTGACCCCCCCCGGAGGGTCACTCACGCCGATGCGATCTGGGCGCCGGCACATGAGGCAGGACAAAGCGATCGCCAGCTGCTTCTTGTAGTTCTGGTTGAGGGCAGCATAGACAATTGGGTTCCACAGCGAGTTGCTGAACCCGAAGAGCTGCACCATTGCCAAGGTGATTGCCTCCATGTCAAAGCTCATCTCCAGGTTTCCTTTTGGCACCAGTGACAGAGAGACAGGGAGACAGATTGGACAGATATGGGCATTATCTAAATTATATGGAATTTCATTGCCGATAAGCATGGTTGGTTACGTACGGTGCGAAATAAGTTCAACATACATTTTGTTTAGTGATCTTACATTAAGCAACGTAGCCCATACCAGGCGATATGCCTGTAAGACTAAAGTGAAACAGCAGACTGGAGAGTGGTACTCAGCATAGTTTGAACCCAAAAGCAGATATGATGGACCCAACAGATCATAATTTGCCATTGAATGAGCAACAGAGGCCTGATCCAGAAGATTCGTCAATGACCTTGACCCATGGTGCAAGGACAATGTTTCGAGTTGCCAAGTGAGTTTAAGTTTCTTAGATTAAGTGGATAGGTCTCGTTTAGCCAATTTCTATACTATTTTACGAGGGAGTTCAGTGGTGCTCGAGCACAGCAGCAACAAAAACAAAAGACGAAATTTATTTTTGCAAAGAGCGAGTACAGGATCCTCAAGGAATGTATATGCTGAAGCATTCCTCCACATTCTGCCAGCATCAGGGATTTGCATGCTCCACGTAAAAAAAGACACTCTGCCGAGGTCCCCACTGTGATATACACATCAGTATTAAGATGTAATACATATGAACGAGCTTCACACGTCATCACACCTCAGACTGTCAGTAAAATGATATTGCATGTGAGCCAAATGTCCACAGAAAAATAGGCACAGCAACAGCAAAAACTTTCCGCGCAAATAAACACAAAGAAAGGGTAAAAAATATACATTTAGCGTCCACCTGTTATTTCATGAAATACCAAAGTGCAAATCTAATACAGTATGGTCATGCATCTCCGGAGTAGAGCGAGCCGCTCGCAATTGTATCTGAGTTAAAATCCGAAATTTTGAGGGTTCAAGTTCATGTATTAGGTATAGCCCTGTGAGCCATTCGGCTCTTGAATCGGGTGCAACCGCAACAAACAAAAAACATGAACAAAAAACATCTTAATGTGAATATGTGACTGAGTGCAAACAGAAAATCCAAGAAAAGACAGCAAAATATTGCAGAAAAAACACCGTACACTTTGTACGGCTGCAGTCAGCAGCCGTGCAAAAGGGTTGACTCGGCCCAACATCCCTTCTGTAAAACCCGACTAGCAAGTGGAATAATTTAGAATTTTGGGGGGCAATTAACCATGGGGAAGTCACCTCGAGTAGCTGATGGGGCACATGAAGCCTGTTATTTGAGAGGGAACAATATAACACTCCTACCACTAGTACAATAGTTGCATTATCTCTCTTCCCCCTATGTTCAAATACCCATCGAGTCCTCGGCCAATTGAGTTTGGCTGTTTGAAATTGCACTGCTCATGCGAATGAAATGATGCTTCGGTCACCATGTGATTTTATTTTATTTATCCTTGTTTATGCAGGAATGCCTCATTGAGACTCTATACGTTTTGCAGTTGGGGGTAATGATTACTGTAATATTGCAAGTATTTTTATTCGACCAGAACACCGACACAATGGCCTACTCTTCTTCAAATGGCATCATGGATATTTAACGTCCATTAAAGCAGAAGATGGCTTGCTGGATTAGAACTGTGGACTTCTACGACAAGTGGCGAACACACTACCAATGGGTCAGGTGTCGATGCATGCGTGCTGTGAACAGCACAGCCGATGTCCGTGAGGACAAGGGACCCATACTCACCATAGTCCACCAGCATGTTGACCACGTGGAAGGGCGCCCAGCATACTGCGAAGAGGATCACCACGATCACCATCATTTTGACGGCACGCTTCTTACTCCTGTATAGGGCCACAGGTGGGCAACGGCGTTCAGGTCAACTCGAATTAACACCCTCCTTTGTGCCGTGCCCAGCAATGTCAACTCACAAAGCAGCCAGGGACATGACGACATCCGAACCCTTGGAGAAGGCTGTCACATGGCTCTGTGGCGACGTGGGCTGACGTCCACTCACAAATAACATTGATAAACATATTTCTTTCTTTCTTGCATAACTCACTCTAACTGTATTCGAATCACGTGTAAAACATTCGTTAAATAAAAAAAAACATGAAGCCCAAGAGGAACTGCTCACAGCGAGTAAAAAATTAAGTTCATATCACCAATAATGGACCTGCAACCACACAGGTCCTACGAAGTCTTCACAGTATTGTTCAACAACAAGAAATATTGAAAGGGTAGCTAGGGGGCAGCTTGGAGGACCACCTAATCAGGATGACAGTTTGCGACAAAAGGGAATAAACTCTGTGAACTGTACAGTAATGGCACCAAGCATAAGTAAACCAAGCAGCTCAATGGGGCTTTGGATAAATGAAAACTAGGGGTATATTAAATATCACATCAAATCCTGGAACGGATCTCTGCTCTGTGGGACTATAGATCACGATAAGTTAATTTGTTGCCGTAAGTTATTTTAGATGCTGTGTTCTGTGACATGCTTCCCTCCCCCTCCCCACCTTTTCCCCGCCCACCTCTACCCAACAATTTAAGTTATCTTCCCTCCCTATTGAAGCTTTCATGTCCTCGCTTTGTGGTCTCCACCAGCGCGGGGCAGAGAGCCCGACTTCCCCCTTCGTTACGCCCCTGGCGCGCCGATCACGGCTCTTTTTTTGTTGACGGAGTTTCTGTCCCCCCCCACCCGTACTGTGGTCGGTGCATTGCACTGGGCTCGCGTTGTGTTGCCATAAACAAATTATATATTTATAAACAATAGCACCTCAAATCAGAATACACGAGCCAATTGTCAAGGGTTCCACTGAAGCTTGTGCACAGTTTTACAAACTGCAGGGCACGTTGTGTGAGTTGGTGTGGGGAGTGAGCTCTCTTGCACTGAGAATTCTTGCTCGACTGATGGACCAACTTTTGACAGCTGACTACGGCAGCGGCTGGTCTCAACCAGATCTGGCCAGAATGATGTAAACCTATACGACCAATTGGCTGGAGACGGGGTGTGGTGCAGACTTGATGTGTAAACGCTTTGGAGGCAATTCATTGTAGGGAGCCAGCAAGCCAAAACTTCTCCCAGCCCAACCATGACCAACAAGAGCAGCATCTCGGCTCATTGCAGATCGTGGCAGCGACAGAGACCAGAGGCAATTCATCGAGCAGTGTCTTGTGGGGACTGAAAGGAGTGCACAGAAGCAATGCTCCAGCCCAAGCTTCTGAACCCTCATTATCATCATAACTGATGATAATGAGGGTCCTGGTCTCCCGGCCGAATTCTTGTGAAGCTAATGTGCTGTGCGGTTCTGCTGAATCTGTGTAGACTGAATACGTATCGCAAGCTGTGAACACTTAACTGCACTTGAAGTCTCGATTACCAGGTGTGTGGATGGTTAAGTTGCTTGGTATGGGATGGACTCGGGGCTGGATTAAGGCACGGGGGCTTTAGGGGCTGCAAGCCCAGGAGACTCCGCCAGCTGGAGGGCTTCCAGAGATGAAGTGAAAAGTTATTTCATTTGTGAATGCTGAATTGTATTTGTTGTTAGCCCTGTAAAAATAAATTTGATTTTTCCTTAACTTTGTTTTCCTTTTGAAAATATTACTGGGGGGGCCTCACAGTAACTGTAGCCCCGGTGCCTACAAAATCGTAATCCGGCCCTGGATGGAATGGGGGCTTATTTCACCTGCCTACCGATTGCAACGACCTGCATATTGTCACTGGGGTTGGTAGGAATATAGGACGACATAAATATATGAAATATGTGCCCTACTTGAGCATACTGGCACAAGACAGAGGAAAGTGAAAACAAATGACGGAATATGCAGTGCATTCCTGCGGGCTATCTGCCCATGGATCGTGATGATGATGAATTGCGTCTATCTCCCTCACTGTGTGTAATCTCCCGATGTGAGCAAAGAGTAAATCTGCTGAAACCCGATATAGTTGTCGACCTTGTTGCATCCTCGCGTATACTGTGTTGCCAATTACCCTGCACCTTACTTTTCTGTGGTGGAATATATTGTGTAGTTATGCAAGAAAAGTCAATTATTCTCGTTCTGGTCTGGATCCTTGTTATCCTATTTCACTACATCTCTTGTCAAAAGTTTTCACATCGAACCATATCTATATTTCATGTTCATATCTTTTCTGTCATCTCACGAGAATTGTATTAATTGAAAGGGAAGGGGCCACCAAAATATGTTTGCTTGGTCCCCCAATGGGCCAGCACCACCAACTATGCAAATCAACTGTGGGTATATGTACAGCAGCGAACGAACTTGGAAAATACTGGACTGCTTGACATCCTGGTATGCATTTTCTCTGGGGAAGCTTTCATGGGTAAATGGCAGAAATATTTTTCTGTACATGATGTTTTTTTTAAAATTTAGTCATTTCTTTTGATCACTAACACTGCTATAGTTTGCCTCCTTGATATTTAATATAATACATTTTGTACTTTAGCATCATCCCAACATGCTGCAGACTCCATCGTGCATTCGCTTGTGAAACCAGCACATACAAAGCGACCTCTGAGTCAGATGTCTTCATCCCGGTGCCACGCCACACCACATTATTTCACACTGTCCCACGACACACCACACTACACAACGCACAGCACTATCGCACACACCACTCCTCCACACTACCCCAGCCACTGCACACTATTCCACACTGCACTATCCCACGACATGCCACACTATCCCACACTGCACAACAACTACCGAACACCAACCAAGCCACACGACCCCATACCCCAGCTATGCCACACAATGCCACACAACACAACGGGGGGAAGAAGTGCTTCTGAGTGCCATCATAGCCACACTACCCACTTCACCGCACACCACATATCAAAAAGACGAAGATCCCCCATGTAACCTTAACAGACTGTTGGGGCAATTGCTGTTAGCGAGCACCTGCGAAGGCCAGCACGGCACACGAGAGGTGATGTTTACATATCGCACGAGGTACTCATTTGAGGCTGAGTTGACCTAGGGGAGGCCCAGGACGGGTTAATGTAATCGTTACTGATTTTTTTTCGATTTAGAGCTTTCAGTGACTGCAGGGATTCGTATTCTTGGTTCTTTCGGTAAAGTCACGTAGAAGGGAAGTAATAAAATAATAAAAATAAAACATAATAAAATAATTCTCACGACGTTTCGGCCACAACGCAAGCAGCCGTCTTCAGGTGAAACCCAGGTCTGTCGAGGCGACAGCGTCTGAATGACTTTACCGAAAGAACCAAGTAGATCGTTACTGATGTTTGCCCGTGAGCAGGAATCGAACTCGGGTCGGCGGGTTACGTAGCGCTGCGCACTAACGGTTGCCCTACCATTGCCCCACACACGACATCACAGCACGAAACGCCACACACGACATCACGCCGCACGCGAGCAAATCACACCCACACCTTAACTTTGGAGCTTTCGTGACTGCAGGAATTATTCTTTGGTTCTTTCGGTAAAGTCACGTATAAAGAAAAAATAATAAATTAAATAATAGCATACGACGTTTCGATTGCAACACAAGCAATCATCATCAGGTATAAATGAAATAGCGACATAAAATCTAACCAGAAAAAATTATAGACAGACATATAAGCAGACAGATATCACCAAGATACACAGAGCGGGCAACACAGGGACGTGACTTTACCGAAAGAACCAAATCACACACCCACACCACAACCCCGATACGACCCCACCACACCGATATGGCACCGCACGTCACGGGCGGCAGAGCGCACCTGGTGATCTTGTTGATCTCGGAGCGCTGCAGCGCGTTGAACACCGCGTCGTGCACGCGCGTCTTGACCCAGAGCTCGTGCGCCAGGCGCGCGTAGAGCGCCGTCATGGTGAGCAGCGGCAGCACAAAGGTGACGAGCAGCAGCGTCGTGGTGTACGCCTGGCGGTGCTCCGCGCGGCTCCACTGCTCGCTGCAGCCCGTGTGCGACACGTCATAGAGCACGTCGTACGTGACCTGCACAGCCGCCAAGGTCACGGGACAGATTGAAACCGGGGATGATGATGATGATGATGGCAAAATCAGAATCTTTCTTTCGACTGGGGGAATCCGATGAGCTGTGGAGCTCTTCTTCACAGATGTCCAGTGTGGGCACAATATGTACACTTTAAGAAAACATTGCAAGGGCATGTGTTTACAGATAGCACATTTTACACGAACTTACACTCCCACACATTAGTTAATAATTATTTAAATCTGTAATGTGGACAAATACTCGCTGGAGGAAGACAAGCAGCAGCCAGACAGTCAGCAGGTACCAATAAATGCCCAAGCTCTGCGGCCCTCTAAGCATTAATATATTTTAAACCGGATAGTAACAGATGGCGATTAGTCCATTAACATAACTGCCTTCTGGCAAGCTATGATATGGCATTTGGACGCCCAAAAGAAAAGAGTTTCACAACATTTATGTGTTCTTCTTATTGGTTCTTTCGGTAAAGTCACGTAGAATGGAAATAATAAAATAATAAAAATAATTCTCATGACGTTTCGCCACAACGCAAGCAGCCGTCCTCAGGTGGAGAGCAGGTTTGTGGAGTAGACAGTCTGAAGACAGACCTGCTCTCCACCTGAGGACGGCTGCTTGCGTTGTGGCCGAAACTTCGTGAGAATTATTTTATTATGTTTTATTTTTATTATTGTATTATTTCCATTCTACGTGACTTTACCGAAAGAACCAAGAAGATGAATCCCTGCAGTCACGAAAGCTTTACATCGAAATTTAACATTTCTGTGATCCACCAAGCCTTGATTAACAGTGCTGGAATACGGGAATGCCCCACCAACACCCCTATAAAACTACACTACCATATTGACTGTTTCATCTCATTCAGCCTGTTGTTCAACCACCACACTGCAGGTCACAACTATTTTCCTACGGCTTCTTCCCTCCTACTGCTCCGCTTGGGAATGGCCTCTCATTGCGTGTTTCCTCTTATAACCTTGCTCAATTAGAAAAAAACGAGTGCAATTTAACTTCAGAAATTACAACTTTGTGATGCTTGTTGCTGGCCATTTGGGGGTTTTGGGGGCCTTTGGGCCTGTGCTCAGCAATTGTGTAAAACAATACCAGCAATTAAGTGGATGAAAAAAACGAGGTTCATGCACAGATTTAGCATAAATGTTGATTATTATCATACTTCTGTGTATATTTTCGGTACTAAATTGTTTTTGCACATTGTAATTGGTCTGCAATTCCTTACCAGGTGACGTAAAACAACTGAACACATTCGTGCACAACGCTGCCTTAAAAAAGAGATAATGCGATTGACGAATACTCTTAGGTTTTTTTGGGAAAGTCACGTAGGTAAAATAATAATAATAATATTAAATAATAATAAATGAAAATAACTAAATTAAATCACGACGTTTCGGAAGCAACACAAGCCTCCGTCATCAGGTGTAACTGCTCCCGTAAAATTACTGTAGCGTGTGATTTCACTGGAGCAGTTACACCTGATGACGGAGGCTTGTGTTGCTTCCGAAACGTCGTGATTTAATTTAGTTATTTTCATTTATTATTATTTTATATTTATTCTTTTTTACCTACGTGACTTTACCGAAAAAACATAAGAGTATGAATCCTTGCAGTCACGAAAGCTTCAAATCTAGGACGATTGACGAATGTAAAGTTTTTTGTTCATTGTGCTTGTGCATCACTGCCAATGCTAAATCATTTGTTCACTGAGAGATTGATTGCACTGCTGCCATTTAAAATGCCCCATTGTCGCCGCGTCGCAAGGTCTACCGCATGGGAGTCGCGGTAGAAAAAAAATGACGACGATACGATCGCGCTTGTGAACAAATGAAAGTCGGCACGTGCTCTCGCTCATTGAGAAGCAAATGCCAAATGTGTCTTCTCGCATACACGTGCTTGCTGAACAAGACCACAGCGTTGTCGTGTGCACGTGTTCAGTGCTTCCTTCATTCAGTGTGTTTATGAATGTTGAACTTTTTTCGCACCGTACGTAGCCAACCGTGATAATTGGACGTCCGGTACGTTCAGAGTGGAATCTTCCTTCACAGTATGCATCAATGTCTGCACTTGTCCGCATTTAAACTCTGTCCTCAATGGCGAAAACATTTTCGTATTACCGACAGGTATCTGTCAGGGCAAATTGAGTTTGAATATTTTCAAATAGTGTCACCTGTTATTTTGCAACCCTTTTATCAATGAGTCTAGTTCTGAATTGGGCCAGTACCTATTAGCAATACAACTTTATAATAAAGTTGAATTCATAATAGAGGTTTTTTGGGTTAGATTGCGTAAATATAAATGTGTCGTTAAACCCACCACCACCCGACACATCCAATTAATAAGGTTTGTCACGTAAACAGAACATGCCAATTCGTTACTAGTACAGCACACCGGTGTGTTAGAGAGCAAATCCACAACATTTACAATTTGAGTACGACGTTTCGCCAGTAATTGCAACTAGCATCATCAGGCGGACATCCAGATTTTTTTAGAAATCCTCCGGTTTTGTTCTTAAAAATATGTGATTTTGTCACTTGCGAGCCCTTCAGGTGCACAGGTCGGAGGGGGTGTGGGGGGGGGGTTAATGAATGCTTATTAATTATAATGGGAATCCATTACCGGTTGGGTTATTCACATGGTAATCAACTTACATTATGTATGTACATTATTCATGCACATTTTCTTGTACATCCTGATGTTTGTGTGAACAGAAATCGCAGCACCTGTTTATTGTCTGCTCATAGTTAATCACCTTTATAGGTATGCAGTTAAACAGTGTATTACTTCGATTTAAAGCTTTCGTGACTGCAGGGATTCATCTTCTTGATTCTTTCGGTAAAGTCACGTAGAATGGAAATAATAAAATAATACAAATAAAACATAATAAAATAATTCTCACGACGTTTCGGCCACAACGCAAGCAGCCGTCCTCAGGTGAAGAACAGGTCTGTCGAGAAGACAGAGTCTGAATGAAATGCATTCATTCATTATTATGTTTTATTTTTATTATTTTATTATTTCCATTCTACGTGACTTTACCGAAAGAACCAAGAAGATGGGTGTATTACTTGATGATTCGCTTCCAGCACTAAGCTATCCGAACGGTTAAAATGAAGTATATTTCTCTCAATGTCGATAGATTATCTAATTAGTCTTGGCCAGTAGTAACTAGTTTTGCACAGAACTTCAACATTATCAAGATAAATTGAGTGTCCTTGTTGGCACGGGTGGTCTGCCACTGCCGACAGTTGTATTTGGGAGTATTTCATATTCCTTTGGTGTCCTTTTAGACTCATGCTGATAATTCGTCCTGTCTGACCAACATATTTACTCTCCAACATACTCGGTGTGCTGTACTAGTCACGAGTTGGTATATTCTGTTTGCATGCAAACCTTACTAATTGGCTGTGTCGGGTGATGGTGAATTTAACGACACATTTATATTTTGATTTAAAGCTTTCGTGACTGCAGTGATTCATATTCTTGGTTCTTTCGGTAAAGTCACGTAGAAGGGAAATAATAAAATAATATAAATATGAAACAATAAAAAAATTGTCACGACGTTTCGACTGCAACACAAGCAATCATCATCACGTGTGAAATCCACAGCAAGAAAATATGAAAAAAAATTAAAATTTTTATGAATGTTTTTATTGTTTTATATTTATATTATTTTATTATTTCCCTTCTACGTGACTTTACAGAAAGAACCAAGAATATGACGCATTTATATTTACACTTTCTAACCCAAAAACCTCTATTATGGAATATATTGGCTGCGAAAGCCCATTACGTGTTAAACAAACTTGAATCCATATTGGAACATCTTTACAAGAGTTATCACCCACGCCTCCTTCCTACCCCGCTTCTTTTACAGAGGGATGAAACGGCAGAGTTAATTCATATATGCTTTCAAACTTAGTTGAAAAGAATTACACAAAAGAATTTGGGATCAACAGGAAAAAACGTTCTGCCAAGTTGATGAAATCCTCCTTCAAAAGGCTGTGAAATAAATGTGGGCATGCTGTGAATAAAATAGAAAACTTCATTTATACTGGAGGAAGCCGATAAGCTATTAAGATATTTTTCACATATATTGAGTAGGCGTGACAGATTAATAACAGTGGACGCTGGTGTTTTGCTAAAAGTTACTGCCACGCTATGAAGTCAATTTGAAACAATTTTTTTTAAAACAACCTTTATATCCATTAACTAGACGGCAGCTCCTCCTACAGACGGGGTTATACTGGTAGGAACCACCTGGTTCCACCAGCCCACACGGGATTATTGTGTCCGTCCGTCGTGCATGGAAAATGGGAGGGGTAGGGCTGGGTGGAAAGGGGTGGGGAGGGAGGGGCTGGGTGGGGAGGGGAGGGTGGGAGGGGCTGGGTGGGGAGGGCTGGGTGGGGAGGGGAGGGTGGGGAGGGGCTGGGTGGAGAGGGGCTGGGTGGGAGGGGTGGGGCTGAGTGGGGAGGGGCTGGTCACCCCGTGGTGCCCTTATAAAACTCAACGTTTAACCTACTCAACGCCGGCTTGTGCCCGCCCTCATAGTCGGGCATACTTGCGGAATACACCACGCCGCCGTTGACCCTGGCCATTGACCGATCAACCCAACGTTCCTACCAGCTCCCTCCGCAGGAATGTGTTCATCACCATCGGCTCAGTCCCCTTTTGTCAACGATTCTCCCCTTACTGTTTTCTCCACCATGGGCTCTGCGCGTCATTGCCACTCAGCACTCACGTGACACTACTAACCTGACACTGCCAGCAGATACTCCCCACTCAGCTGACGCTACATGCCACGTGATCCTAACCTGATACCGCTCACGAGACACATTACCATGACACCACCCACTCACTAGCCATCCACCTGACCCTCTCCAGATACACCTGACACTTGACCACTCGGTACTCACCAGACAAGAGTCAATGATTCCACTTGCCGTACTGCCATACCCTGGCAAGCCAGGAGATGGCGACCTCGTAGCTCAGTGGGGTTTTGAGCTTCACGAATGCGTGTGTGAACCACCAACCCTCGTTGCCTTCACAATGCTGAATGACAGGCGTCAGTCATCAGCATCGTTATTGTTGTTATTTTCGAAAAGCACTACCATCCAGCCCTTGCTTACCTGGTCCACATTCAATAACTGCCCTAGTTTTACATTTTCTGATGTGTTTTCCAGTTGCGTCTGTCCAAAAAAAAATATTTGTTCACAAAACTTGTGACTTTCGTTTTCCCCATCTGTATCTTTAGTCCTACATTGCAGGCTTTAATTCATTGAATGCCTCGATCATTTTGCGTGGATCATTCCCATTGGTTGTTTGAATGACAAAGTCTGCCGATTCGAGATGGTTAATAATTTCACCATTCATTAGAATTTCGTCAATACAATTTTCATAAACTATTCTTGAATCGCAGTGAATAGCCTTGGAAAAAGCAGGTCTACAGTGTCCGTTTCCTGTTTCCAATTAGCTTTTTGTAACCTTCTTTATGCAGTCTCAGTGAAGCTATTCAAACATTGTAAATGGTTTTGTGAATTTCCATATATTTTTGTTAAGACGTCGGGCGCCAAGGTGGTGCGATGTGAACTACCTCGCCTGGTTATACAGGAGGTTGTGGGTTCGATCCCGACCGTGATGCCTAAATATTTGGAGTTTGCATGTTCTCTTCGAGGTCACATTAATTTTTCTCCGAGTCCTCCGGTATTTCCCTCCAGATTTAGAAACATGCGTTTGGAGCCAACGACAGCCCCATTTCCCATCTCCCCAATTTCTCCAAACTCCTAGAACATCTGGTACACTCTTGTTCTATCCACAACGCATCTTCTAACTCTCTCTACCCCCCAATTCCAAACTGGGTTTCGTCACTGTCATTCAACCGAAACAGCTCTGCTTTCAGTTGAGAATCACCTGGCTATGTTCATGATGGTCTCTCTTATATTCTTGTACTCCTCGATCTGTCATCAGCTTTAGACACGGTTGACCATCCTAATCTTTTCTCTACTCTCTCTCTCTTCTCTTGGTATCTCTGGCACACCACTTTCCTGGCTACAGTCCTACCTCTCTTTAACACGAAGGCTTTCGCGATCAATATTATTAATAATAAAAGGTTTTCGGGTGAGATCGCGTAATTATAAATGTGTCGTAACCCTCCACCACCCGACACAGCCAGTTAGTAAGGGATTTGTCACGTAAACAAAACGCCAATTAGTTACTACTTCAGCCCACTGGTGTGTTGTAGAGTAAATCCGGACATGATTCCTTGCAAAAGGTTTCAGTTTGGTGTTTTAACATCGTAACACCTGTTTTGTTGGCAGAAAAAAAGGGGAAAACCTATTCTCTTATTTTGACACTGGCAAAGGAGGTCCCGTGATATTTCTACCGTTTTAAGAGGGAAGCATACACATCCATCATAGAATGAAACGGATGAAGACTCGGCATGCTGTGTATGGGCAGTGATGGTGCGTTCTTCACCTGCACTGTGTGTGCATAACACATGGGAGCCGCCACACACAGCCCCACCAGCCACACGCCACCTGCAAACAAGGCAGACGAACACGAACAACAATTACAGGCTATCGATTGCAACTGTCATTACACATTAGAGATATTGCGATGTCGGCTGATCAATAAGCACTGGGAAAATGGTATAGGTCGCCACTTCATAGACCTATGGAGCAATCGACACCAACCAATGCAGAGCTGTCGAATGTCTTTGTTAGTTGTACTGCGCGTGTTATTCAGCATCGTGTATTTCACTCCACGTGTTGGGAGATGAAGAGGTGGAGTGAAACGTTGGACATCATGTCTAACAACACGTGGTGCAACCTGAAATCACATCGGAGGGCTAAGCCACACAGCCGTGATAACCTATGCCCTAGTCCTGACAATACAGAGCGTATCCATACTCTTTCTAGATTTGAAGCTTTCGTGACTGCAAGGATTCATACTCTTTGTTTTTTTCGGTAAAGTTACGTAGGTAAAACAATCAATAAAATAAAATAAATGAAAACAACTAAATTAAATCACAACGTTTCGGAGGTAACACGAGCTTCCTTTATCAGGCGTAGAAAGGCACAGCAAACTAACTATAGCGAGAGCGTATCCACACAAGGTAGGTGGCTATGAGTGGGCGTGCAGGGTCAGAAAGTGCAGTGTATTTACATGGATTGTTTGTAATTACACGTGTTCACCCAGGAAAGCCTCACACAATATAATTACTCTTCTTGAGGAGAGTTCTGTCAACGTGTTTGAAAGCCAATGATTGCTATGTAAAATCACAACTGAGCATTTTGTATGTTGGCAAATTTGAACCATGCATTCTTGTGTTAAGGTCTCCTATTCCCTTTCCACATGAAATGCCAACCATGCTCATTGGACCAATACTTCGGCCGTGAGTGATCATTGTTTTAATGCGGTGGGCTCACACGAAATTGATTTCTCTAAGACGAAGGTACTTTGCAAACCCACTGGCTATCAACAAAGATTCGTTCATGAAGCCATCCATATTTATAGACACAGACACAATTTCATTAGAGAAGATGGGTATAAACTGAGCAATCATTGGAAGGACGTTATCAACCAGTTTAAGTCATAACTGGCTGTGATGTTCCCATCCTACCACCTTCCAATCTTAGTTGTAATTTTCGGCTCTCTGATTTTACATTAACAGGTTAAATTCCTCACACTAACACAGCTACCTCGCTCGCAGAGCTCGAGGTTGCTTCTCTGCGGTCTACCATTAACATGCAAAATCTCTACTCTTTAGTTCTTTCGGAAAAGTCACATAGGTAGAAACATAAAATAAAACAAAAAATAATATATCACGACGTTTAGATCGCAACACAAGGGGTCGTCCTCAGGCGGAAAAAATATAATCCAGCAGTGGAACTGCTGAACGAGCGAGCGTTTTATTTAATTTTTCTACCTACGTGACTTTACCGAAAGAACGAAAGAGTATGGATTCCTGCAGTCAGGAAAGCTTCACATCATGCTAATCTCTCACATTAACAGAGCCACCTCAGGGCGCTGGCCGTGGAGGCAGCTCAACGATCTTACATTAACATGCACATTTTTACTGGCAAGCCCTTTGATTGGTGGAAAACCCATCACCGTCGCGGTCGCTGCCCACCACACACACTAACATTGGCTGCTGACATTTGGGCTACGCCCATTTCAAACCTTTATAAACAGTTTGCCTTTAGAAACCAACCACCTCTTCCTGATGACGAACGCTTGTGTTGCGATCGAAACGTCGTAGTTTTTTTAAAATTTTCTTTGAACCTATCTACGTGACTTTACTGAAAGACACAACGAATAATGGAAAACCATTTAACAATCGGTGAAATAATTTAAAATCAATGTAATGTAATTTTTAAGATAAAAAATGTGAAGACTCATAGTAAAACACTGCTTTATGGGCCAGCAGCTCTGCAGCGTGACCTTGTTTAAAGCGGTGGCCTAAAAAAACTTCAGCAGAGAGCGGTGGCAGGGGGGGGGGGGGCAACATCCCTGGCACTAAGGGGCTGTAGGGCAGTGCCCTCAGTTTAGAGCTGGGAATTAACTCAGAATTCATCAATCACTGCTGTGGTGAGGGCGCGTGCCTGCCCAGCCACCCTGCTGTGCCAGCCTCGGTAAGTGCACATTAACAGCACTTACCCCACAGCAACAAAAGGAATGGGGATCTTTTGTAGTTGTGTGTGGGTATGGGTTAACATGCTGTGCTATGAACCCTGCGACCTGATTTTGGTTCCCAAAATAACCATTTGCGTCGTTGTGGAGAATAGAGATAACAAAATAGACAAGCAATCCATGTCTACTTATATGTCTCTCAACATAACAATTTAAGTATTTTGTTTCACAACCAATTAGCCCAAGGGCCCTTTTGGCGTTTTGATTCCCACTTATTGTGAACGTCAGCTGTAAATATTTTAACCAGTCCTGGGCCTCTCCTCGGTTGATTCGCCCTTCAATGAGTACCTGGCACGGTGTATAAAACATGAACATTGCCGGCCAAACCACCCACTCGTGCGCCATGCCGGCATCAAAGGGTGCTCGCTACCAGCACGTGCACCACAAGGGCAGTGGGGTTATCTTTGTATGTGGCCGTGCACACCATGAGATGATGCGCACAGCCACCGGTGTCCCTCCAGTGGTGATATTTTACACGTGAGGTATTCCTTTAAGGTCACGTTGACCGAGGAGAGACCAGTTTTGAGAAACCCCCTGCTGCTGATGTTATTTATGTACTTTGGGAAATGAAATGTAGGTCCTGGGAATCGGAGGACAGTCTGCACACCGTTGTGTCCCCACTCCCATACACGACGCCTGCAACGTTAATTATGAGGAATCTCTGGGAGTGTATGGGCTTGTGTGTATGTGTGTGTGAGTTGGGGGAGCGGTCCAGTGGCGGTTAGCGTGCTGCGCTACGAACCCGGTGACCCGAGTTCGATTCCTGCCCACAGCCAACACCAGTGACAATTATCTGAGTCGGTCCTGGGCCTCCTCTAGGTCGACTCAGCCTCAAATGAATACCTAGTGCGGTGTGTAAGTATCGCCACTGGGGAGACAAAGGCGGTCGGGCGTGGTGCTGGCCACCCACCCCCTCGTGTGCTGTGCCGGCCTTCATAGGTGCTCGCTAACAGCACTTGCCCCAACAGTCTGTAAAGGCTATACGGGGGATCTTTGTTTTTGTTTTGTGTGAATACAGGGTCTGTTTGTAAGTCGATTTGTTCGTAAGTCCAACTTTATTCCTGTCGATTCCAAGCATGTTGTACGGCGTGTGCACTAAACACGGGAAATGGCTTTAAAAGTTGTATAATCTCCTGTAGATGTAAATGCCACTCGGTTTTCATGTTCTGCAGATGTAGATGCCACCACCGCCATCTTTTGCGCGGCAGTTGAACTTACGACTCTCGGTCCGAACAGGCGACTGGAAATACGGACAGGTTTGTTCGTATCTCTGAAAGTTCGTAAGTCGAATGTTCGTTAGTAGAGGAGTCTCTGTATGGGCATGATAAGCGGAAGTGTAGTGGTTCGTGGACTTCGCTGCAACCCCCGCGACATGAGTTCGATTCCTGCTCACTGCCAACATCGGTGACAAATGTCTAAAACGGTCCTGGTTCTCCCCGAGGTTGACTCAGCCTTAAATTAATACCTGATTTGATGTGTATATATCAGCACGGGGGAGACAAAAGAGGCCGGGCTTGGTGTTGCTCACCCATGCCCTCATGCGCCGTGCCAGCCTTAATAGGTGCTCGCTAACAACACTTGCTCCAACAGTCTGTATGGCTATATGCGGGTCTTTGTGTGTGTGTGTGTGGAACAGTGACGCAGTGGGTCACACACCACTTCACAATCCCTGCGACCTGGGTTTGATTCCTGGCCATAGCTAACCCCAGTGACAAGTGGTATCGGAAGTATTTAATGAGCATCTATTATGGTGTGTAAACATCAATAATAGGGAGACAAAGACATCTATCGAGTGGTGGTTCTTGCCACACCGTCCCCTCCTCGTGCTCGATAACAACACTTGCCCCAGCAGTGTAGGAGGCTACATGGGGGATCTTTGTCCTTGTCTCAGTGAGTTTATAAGAGCGTGGCTGCCGGCAGCACGGTGGCCAGGGGATGATAGTACAGAAATGAGCTCGGTCCACATATGGGTTGAATGCATTGGCTCTGTAAATATAATTAATCTGCGTCAAGATGTGAATGTTCTTCCATGATAAGGGCGGTGGATTTCTCCGGCTACTCCGGTATCCAAACACTCCTTCATGATACTGGCTTAACATCTCACAGGGACAATTGCTCCCTGGCGACATTATTATGTCGGCAGGAAGTGAACTAATTAAAATTATTCATGCATATTTAATAATAAAAAAGAACAATGAATTGTTTCTTAAAATGAGGCCCTATGTATAAAACTTGGCCCTCCACGAATTTGTGTAGCCGGGTGCATCGCAAGCGAGACCCTCCTGGAATAATACATCTCTAGAGTCCCAGTGAGGTTTTGGTTGGTAAAAAAATAAATTCTAATGAAAGGTAAACATGTGCAGTAGCCCTGTAATGTTTTTCTCACTCAATTGCTGCCGGCAGGGCCTCCACGAGAGCGAGCTCAATAGAGCCCCTATAGAAGGTATTTGGCCCACTCTTCCACGCTAAACCGATATCTTGTCAGAGAAAAACAAACCATTTGGAATATATCTATGTTGAACTTCTTTTGCACCGTACGTAGCCAACAAACTCAACACAAAAAATATAATCGTCGTGAATAATGAAACCTTGAACGCGTGCTATCTCACGGGAATGAGAGTAGAGAGAAGAGAGGCCGAAGCAGAAGTGAGTTGCATGGAGCAGTGTCTGTTTTGGCAGGTGGCGGGGAGAGGGTCGGGATACAGAGTCGGGTTGGCCACATAAGTCACGTGATTTACACAAAGCTGGAGCCGATGAGACTGTTTTTGATTTGTTGCCTTGCCCAAGCTTGCATTTAATGTAGAAAAATCTGCAGGAATTGATGTACTTCTGCAAATTGTACTTGTATCCTTAATTTATGTTCATTTTTGTAAAGTGACTTGCGTACATTTCCTATACTTTGCACTCCGATATATTTTTTTGGTGTTGTTTGTTATTGTAACTTTCTTACCCGCCCCTATTGGACATCTGTGAAAAAGACTTCCATAGCTCATCAGCTTCCGCTAGGATACATACAGATTCCGATTATGACATATCGATTATATTACAGGTGTGCCCACGTACAGAGCATGGAGACAGCGCGTGCTGCGGTGTATCGCGAGCGTGAGCGCAGCGGGTGCAGGATGCCCTGGAATCTCTCCACAGCGATGCAGGCCATGGTCAGCATGCTGGTGGTCACGGCTGTCACCTGGATGAACGGCACCAGCTTGCACAGAGCCACTCCTGCAAAGAGAGAGAGATGGGAGGATGAGCGAGGCGGTAGAGGAGTGATGATGGCTCCATCATCACTCGGTCACGGAGCTGAGCTGAGCCACGGCTCTTTTTGCTCATTCATTCAGTTATTCATATTGCACACTCATTCATATTCAGTTATTATTCATGCAAATGTATTTGTTTTATTGGGGGGCAATGGATTAGCATTTACGTCGTGCCCCCGTGAGTACCCCAGCTCTTTCCTCCCCCTTCCCCGGAAAAGCTGAGGACACAACTAACGACGCGAATTCTGTTCAAACTATACAGCGTATAATCTAGATTTGCGTATCTCGGTCTGAAACACACACAGTAAATAATTTACATGCATCGAATGTGTTATTTAAACTCATTGTTATTTAAGGTAAATATCAATAATGAAAGCCTACGTGTTAAATTGATAATATATATATTTGTGAAGAACATTGTATAAAAAATTAAACATTCGTACATATCGTTATTAATTTTGGAGTTGTTTTTCGTAATGCCCAGAGAACCCTCGCTTTCGTCGGGCGTTATAATCGCTACTTTGCGTGTTCGCGACGCATTTATTGTCGTGCAATTTGACACTCCCTGGGTTGTATTCTAAATATCCGTGGCCGTGGCGCACGACGACCCAACGAGAAGTCGTGACGCATGGGAACAGTGTAGATCGGTGGAGCGCTCCCTCAGTCTGCCTTGCCCCACAGTACACGCGAGTGCTTTCCTTCACATTTTCATTCGGAATTTCGTACTGCATAATACTAATGTATTTATTAATTAATCGATATTTGCACTCTTAAATGTGTTTATGTTCGCCCCTGGCAAGAACCTCGACTGTTCTATTGATCCGATAAAAGTGGCTAGAGAATCCAAAAAGTGAAATACAGATTATCAGAGGTATACCACTCGGTAGATGGCGAGACATTTCGTACCAGGAACAAAGCATGTTTTTACTTCTCACACACTGGGCGAATAGCACCGTGCAGTAGCCCACCGTGCTAATCAGAGGTGCAGAGAAAGGACACCAAACTACACACAAAAAGCAGTTCTAAAGAAATGCGTTTTCAACTGAGATTTTAAAGTTCAATGGTGGTTAATGAACCGGAGGTCCCTGCACTCCTACCCCACATATTTTATTTTTACCAGGTAAGGCCCACAAAGCTATATAGTTATTTTTCAGAAGCGACCTGGCCACAAATTATCACTCAACGAAGTGGCTTATCCTGTGGACATTTATAGCAGCCAAATAATCTGAACGCGTGCTAATTCTAAATGTAGAGGGGGAAAATGCACACGACCACGGGGAGAGAACATGCAGACTTCAAATGTACAGCCGCCAGGGTCAGGATAGAACTCACGACCTCCTGTATACCAGGCGAGGGAGATAACATCACGCCACCATGGCGACCTGCCTGGCAGATGACACCAATAATCCTCACATTACTAGGTCGAATAAACGAAAATCTTGGCTTAATCCAGGTATCTATTGACAACTTAACTGCGTGTGAATTTGAAAGGTCAGATGACGTGCAGAGTCATGACTTAAGGCTTGTGTAGGAGGCGGAAATAGGATAGTGTTGTCTTCTTCACAGCTGCTTTCCAATTTTGTCCTGACAAGGATACATCTGGACTGTTGAACTCGCAGGTATCGCATACGTTTGCAGCAGAGAATGGCGGTGGAAGATGACACAAAATGCTGTCGTCTCATTTCCTTAAATATTATTCTTACCTCGGCACGCACCTTTTATATTTCCCTGCAAAGAGTGTTCGATACACGCCAATCGAAACGAATATTTAATGTTAAGAATCATTAAAATATGGGCATAGCACGGTTGTTTTGCGCATTTGTTACTGACTGGGAAAAGACTATCAACTAGCTACACTTGAGCGTCTGATTTAATCATTATCAGATTAAGAATGAGATTCACAATCGGATCTCAAGGGTACTGCCTCAGCGAACTGAAAGAAATCAGCCTCATGAGCCACCTGGCAAATTTGTATGAAGTGATAATGTCATATTTTCCACGCGTGCTGTTCGCGAAATGAAACGCATCAAGGTGGATACGTATTTGCATACTTGCGCCCCAGTTGCCTCTGTCGAATTACAGGGAGGCAAATGGTGTTCATTCCTTGGTGACAATGCCCATACTCTTCAGGAGCAAGACACTTATCCCGTAAAGTGACACTCATCTGCCACCAATACCAATACAAATACCAGCCATTCGCAACTAAGTAACGGTAACGTCACCATGGCGCCTGTGCCAGGCCAGGTACACTTTCAGGCCACGTGAAGTGTCGAAGGCTCGCTGACAGGAGGCCTCAAGACAGACCCAGCTGCCATGGGTTGGTTTACTGAGATGTCTAGTAGATGCACCAGCTGTACCCCTACTGTGCCAACTTGCTGCATTTGAAACACCCGGCGCCCTGCTCGTTGTTGTGAGCGTCGCTCTTCTGCCCTCCGTTGTTGCTGGATGGTGACTGCCTCCAACTGCCCAGCAGCGTCCTTCACGAGCCTCTTGACACCGCTGGTACTAGTCGTCGGCAAGTCCATTCAGCTCCACATCCTCCCGTACCGCATCAGTCCATCTCTTCTCCAGCCCATGTTGTGCCCATGAAGCCCCCTCTATGCGGCCAAACAGAAGCTGCTTGCGCATGCAGTGGCTGGGCATGAGGGCTAAATGAACTATCCAACGCTGCCTTGCCTGCCGGAGGAGCTCACCATTGGGAATGTATCCAGCCTCATCAAACCCAGGATGGATCATAGGCATGCCAGCCTGAATGTTTCTAACCGGCGCAGATGTCCAATTAGAGCGGTCCACCTTTCACAAGTGTAATGTCATGATGACACCTGTTGGTTGGAAAAGGGAAGCACGGGTACGGGCACCACTAAAACATCATACAATGCCAAAGGGAGAGGTGTCTGGGCCAAAGGTAAGGGGCGGGGCTGGCCGAGATACTCCGGGAACCTGCGGGAAGGTTCCACGGGAGGGCGTGGCTGGAGGCGGAGCCTAGCTGCACCTGCGGCTATATAAGCGGGGGCGGAGGAGTACTCGTGGTCGGTGTGTGGGGAGTCTCGGGTCCGGACTGCGTCGCTGCTCGCCGTCATCTCTCTCCGTCATCCGGCCACGTGGCAGATCTCCTGCCGAGTTCCACCGCCCTTACCGGCACGTCGTCAACCAGCGGCGAGGCCGGAAATGGACGGGTGGAACCACGCCGGATGATCGACCATGTGTGTAGCCTGTAGGGACGCTAACATCTAAGTGTGCGGAAAAGGAAGACGATTGTGTTGGCCTGTGTTGTGCCCGTGTGTGAAATAAAGAAGAGTACCCTCTGCAGGACGTGTCGCGGAAGTCTCTCATTACACAAGCATAGAGAAGGGAGGGCATGCCTGTGGCCGAGGAGACCTAAAGATTCGCGCAGAGCGACATACCAGATAGCTTCCACACAGCATTACGCAGCCGATTAAAAGATAATGCTGCCCGACTGATTCGGAGTGTAAGCTCTGGTGTCAAACCGGAGCTGGTCATAAGCACACTGCCCAGGTATGGGAAACTCTCCACTCTTTCCACAACTGCTCCATCACCAATGGGAATCTGAGGTGTTGGAGTGTTCGGTGGCCTAAAATACCCTGGCAGGTGCTTAGTTTTGGTGGGGCTGATGGTGAGACCCCACCGCTTAGTGGCACACTCCAGCTTCAGCAGCAGCGCCTCCAACTCCTCCTCTCAGCGAGCAGCAATCAACAGATCATCAGCATACATTACATGGTTGACCAAAATTGAGCCATCCCTTGACCGCACCCGGGAATCAATCAGCCTCCCATTGTATCTGTTCCAAATGCAATTTCCTCTGGAACAGCCATCGAAGGCTTCACCAACTACGTGTTCAAAATAGATGTTAAATAATGTGGGAACATGAGGACATCCCTGTCGCACCCCAATGTGAACAGGGAATGTCTCCGACTCACAGCCACGTAATTGTACCCGGGCCTGCCCATCATCATGAAGGTCCTTAATGATTGTGAGCAGAGAGTCAGGGACTCCGAAAGCCCGAATAACTGCCCATAGCCCTGCCCTGTTGATGGTATCATAGGCCTTGACCAGGTCAATGAAGCAGAGATGTAGGTCTTGTTGGAATTCCCTATACCTCTGCTGTAGCAGACTGACAGAGAATATGGCATCCGTGCAGGACTGCCCTTGTCTGAAACCACATTGGGTCTTCGCAAGCCTCTCCTCAGCGTGCCTGGCAAGGCGATGTTGAATAATCCTTGCTAAGACCTTTTCCCTCACAATGAGAAGAGAGATGCCCCTATAGTTGTTACAATCTGTGTGGTCCCCCACAAAACCAGCCTCATTAATCAGTATGGTTATAAAATTGGCATGCAGACATGTAAATATGCTTTCATCCATCAGTTGGTTGAAATAGCTTTGCACGCTTTTGATAAGTCTGTTGGATTGTGAGTGTAAAAATAGAGTTATTGCTATTCTCGGAATGTATGAACCCCCCCCTTAGAGAAATGGTCGGAATTAAATATAGTATACATAATATGTGAGCCAGAGAGTACAGACGACATAGTACAAATTAAATAGAAAGAACGAGACGGACAATACAGACGAGCCAATACGAATGGGACAGACAAACAGAACATACGAGAAAGACAAACATATATGAGCCGGTGAAAATGAGCCAGACGGAACACGCTCGTCCATGGACAAGATCAGAATTGGTACCACGTGAACTATAGCAGTTGTTCAAAGCGATTTATATGGCCAGTGCATGTGGGTTATGGAACAACGTGTTAATAACGAGCAGTTTGTAATAATGCACACGTGTCAACAACACAGCCACGATTTTCCATCTCAGGCAGTGCCAACGAGGACCTAAGGACATGGCTTAGTCCATGCACGCACGAAGAACATATTTGTTCTGGTCATCTCCCTTCATTGTTTGTCAGCTGTGATATCACGGGCCACGCTCAGTCACAGACAATTCAATCGACTGTAGGTTGTTCCTGGGAATTGCTCGATTTTAGTGAAACACGCTTGATTTTACTGGGACATGCCTGATGTTCAAAGGAGCATGACAGATGCATTAATGAATGAGATTGGATTTATATTGCACTCTACCTTTTAACAAAAGGTCTCAGAGCAAATACCGCCCGCCGCCCGTCGATAGCTGTCTCAGCTATGGCATTTGACTGTCAATGTGGGGTGATGATTGCTATGTGAGATATTTGTGGACAATCCATTTTTTACGTGTGCAAAATTGAGCCGAGATTGAAATTGTATTATCATGGGGGAAAACTAGGAAAACCCAGAGGAAACCAATGCAGAATTGGGGGAGAACATACAGAAAGCAGAAAGCTGCTCTGGTCGGGAATGGAATCGAAGCCTTTATTTTACTCTGCTCGCCGATTTTCATGAAATTCATGTCTATTTTTCAAGGAGGCTTTCATGAAGCTTCCTTGTGCAATTCTGATGTTCGTGGGGGGAATATTTGGTATCGGCAAGATTCGTGTCCGATGTTCATGAGGTTAATGTCTAATGTTCACGATGTTCGTGTCGAATGTTTTTGGTTCACGTCTGACCCTCGGGAGGCTCATATCTGATGTTTATTGTTCGCATCCGATGTCCCTGGAGAATGTATTTTTATTCCCAGGGGGGTTATGACTGCTGCACCCCAGGGCAAGTAGAGGTTTTGTAATAGAGATACGGCATCTCTACAGCGGTAAAGAATAAATGCGCATGTGGAGAATTGTAAATACTCTGTTAGCCGGGTTCGTGCTTCACGCGCCCACCGTGAAAGCATTTAACAGCAGCGGAAGCATTCTCCGTGTCACCATCTCGGAAGGAAGTGGATAATTACTTGTGTCCAAAGTAGAGAGAGATTAAAAAAAATGTATCCGGTAGTGGCGGTGGTGGTGGAAGAGGAGGAGGCTAAGTGGTGGGAATGAGTCACAAGAAGGATCCTCTTTACTCTTAATGTGAAAGTGACGGTTCACATGATAAAACGTAAGTTGGATGATGGTTAGAATGTGAGCCTGAACATGCTGTACGTTGAAATTCTTTTTTTTAAACATTACAAATACACGAATGATACTTTTCAAACGATAATTTACCACCCTTTGTCAATACACTGTTGGATGAAGGCCACTGCACGCCGAGTCGGCCTTGGTGGGTTGTTTCACCATACTTCAGCCCATTTTTCAGTACAAAGGACGTGTGCGGTGAACTGATCCGTTAGCCATCGCCATATTCGAATTTCGGTCGTCAAGCTTAGAACACACTACGCCAACCAGTAAGCCATGCTTCACCAGAATATTTAATATTCGTTTGCTATTCAATTATTATTGTCATCAAATATTAAAGTAGCGTTAAAGCCCACATTATACGAGCGCTAGTCTATGCAGCGCACGTCTGCAATCCACCACTGTGGAACTTTGGATTGAAAAATCATGTCGATTTGAATAATTGATAAAGCAGCTGAAATGCAGGGTGGCCAGGAGATGTCAGTAGAGCCAATGCGTTCGTGAACTCGTATCTGTACGCCTGTGTTTATTATTCATTACACTTATTTACTAAGGAAAGCCTCATTGAAGAATCGTGACTCGTTTTCAGGAGGGTTCTGCCAAGTTTACGCAGCAGAGGTGGGGAAAGGGTGGGGCGATAAATGCGATATATACCAATTACTGGCGAAACGTCGTACTCAGATTGTAAATGTTGTGGCTTGGCTCTCCAACACACCGGTGTGCTATACTAGTGACGAATTGGCATGTTCTGTTTACGTGACAACCCTAACTAGTTGGCTGTGTGGGGTTGTGGCGGGTTTTAACGACATATTTATATATTTACGCGATCTAACCCCAAAAAAACCTCTATTATGGATGCTATTGAAAGTCTACGCGTTAAACTAATATTCGAATTAAGTAATTTGGGGGTCATTTTTCCAATTTAGAACATTTGGATCATGAGGCAGGGCACACAAAGGCCTACTTTTGCGAAAGACATCACGGCATCTTTAACACCCACTGTGAAGCAAAAGACGCGGTTTTTTTGTTACCGTCTTTACACCCGCAGGATTAATCAGGGCGGTCGCGAGATTCAACGTGCAAATCTCCGCAACAATTGCGACCGTGCTATCGCAGCACCATGCAATCGCCCCATGAGCATTATCTGGATACTGGCAATGTAGCAGGGACCCTACTAATTCAAAAGTATTGAGACTTAGCGATGCTTTGATGAACGCACGCTCACCGTTGCTTGTGAAGACGCAGCTTGTGCAACGCGGAGTGCGATAGTCACCTGCGATCCAGTTGGAGAAAAAGTTCTGCATGAGCGTGACGGGGATGCAGAAGACGGTGATCATCAGGTCGCTGACGGCCAGCGAGCACACGAACACGTTGGCCACGGTGTGTAGAGCCTTGCGCCGAGCCACCACGAAGATGACCAGCGCGTTGCCGGAGAGAGCCAGCGTGAAGACCAAGGCGCCCATCACGGCGAACGCCAGACGGAGCGGCTGCGGCAGGTGAGGCACATACACCATTGGCGGTAGGTGGTACGCTCTGATGAACTCCTCTCGAGTCATGTTGTTGGCCAGGAGCAATCGCGTCAGCAGTTGCGCGGTGATGTTCATGATCGCGAGCGCAGGGAACGCGGTCTTCCCTGGCCTCTGCAAGACGTCGTCACTCGCTATTATAGGTACCTGTGGGGTGGGGGTGGGCGGCAGCGCACACGGATTGGGAAGTGGTGATGGTGACGCGGCGCGACACGAAGGCGATCGGGGAGAGCGAGGAAGATTTCAGCACCGAGAAAGGCTCACCCCAGCCCCTCAGCCGACTATACGCACCACTCCCCCTCCCCCCTTCACATCTCTTTCAGCAGTGGCGCCACATCGTGGAGTCAACGAAAACTATTTCGGAGTAGGGCTCTCTAGCCAAAGTGCCCGTGGGCTATGATCATTGAGTTCCTGTAGAATCGTCATTAAACGACTATTGTGACCCGCCTGTTACATTCCACTTATCGTGTTTATTCAGCATATCGCCGCTTCCTTGAAATCGGCGCTCCATTCGAGCGCGAATGTTCCTCCTCTGGCGCCGCTGATACATTCAGAGTCGCTCCGAGCACGTGGTCACGGCACAGCCTGACCGCTCAGGACCACGGACAGCGACGTGCGGAATCGTATTGCGCAGTGGATTTTTTTTCTATATATTGCTGACCGCGTAATCGCTTCTGAGATCAGATTCAGAATCTTTACATATCCTGGACAAATCCGATTATCCATTAAGCTATTTTTCATAGAGGGACGAGTCAAAATTGTACAACAACAAACAATACAAAAACGTACTCTCTGGCTTTTTCGGAAAAGTCACGTAGATAGAAAAAAATCACGTGACCTTACCGAAAGAACTAGAGGGTATGGATTCCTGCAGTTACGAAAGCTTCAAATCAAGACTGAATACAAATACGATCGGAGTGCAAAGTATAGAAAACGTAAACAAATCACGATAAATAAATAAAACTAAACTATATATATATTTTATTTTACCAGGTAAAATATATATAGCTATAGAGCTCTTTTTCAGAAGCAACCTGGCCACAAATGATGGCTCAACGAAGTGGCTTATCATATGGAAATGTATAGCAGCCAAATACTCTAAACGTGTGTTTATAAACGTGGAGGGAAAATCCGGAGAACCCGGAGAAAAAAAGTTCCACGCTCGCATGGGGAGAACATATTAACTTCAAATAAACAGGCGTCAGGGTCGGCATCGAACCCAGGGCTCTCTGCATACCAGGCGAGGGAGATAACCTTAAGCCACCGTGGCACCCCTAGAATAAAGATAAAGAAAGTATATGAGTTCAAATTTAATAAGTACATACTCTTTGGCTCTTTCGAAACGTCACGTAGGTATAAAATAAAACAAATCACGACGTTTCGGGCGCAACACAAGCGTCCATCATCGTTGCGCCCGAAACGTCGTGATTTATTTTATTTTATACCTACGTGACTTTACCGAAAGAACCAAAGAGTATGGATTCTTGCAGTCACAAAAACTTCAAATCAAGATTGCATGAGTACACGTTAAGAGCTAGTCTTGTCGCTTGAACAAACTCGCGGAACAGAACATATTATTGTAGCAAGTACACTTTATTTTAAAAGGCATGCAGTGCAAGAAAAATATTGTCCGCCTTTACACGATTAATTCTCGAGTACCCCTTGACGAGAGCACACGTGCCCCCATGGGTTCGCGTGCGACAATTTGAAAGCCGCTGGCTGGTATAGTGTATACAAAACAGCATGGGGTTATACGATATGTGGAGAGACTAGTCGATGCAAAGTACAAACGTCAGCAAACGGAGAAGGGTACTACTACACTTTCTTTGAAAATTAATGATTGCAGGTCATTATAACTCGAAGTCATGGCAAGTTGATATTCTCTACACACATACAACTTGGAAAATCGTGTGTGTAACAATATGCGTGTACAGCCAGGTTCCCTCCATCGTCAATAAAGTACTGTTCAGTAAGATGTTCACAGTGGTCGTCTCATGAACATAATGTGTTCAAGCGTAGAAATCTGTAACTTTCACCGATTTCCCAGGTGAGCTAACGGGTGGTGAGCATCGCTTCAATCTAATTTGAGCATGGACTTTGCATGATATGCATGATACACTATATACGTGGAGTCGGAAATATTGTGAGTAAACAAACCTAATATTGTTTCTCTTGTACGTAGCGTTAGCTCCTCCCACGTTTTGTTATTCCCTGCATTAAACGGTACTTACCCTCCAGTATGAAGCAATACACACAAATACATTGAATCGCTTCATGTGATAAACAAACGCATTAACAGGCCACTTTATTAATTATTGTCTTATAGCTTTCGTGACTGCAGGAATTCATATTTTGGGGTCTTTCGGTAAAGTCACGTAGATAGGTTCAAAAATACATTCAAATAAACGAAAAACTACGACGTTTCGATCGCAACACAAGCGATCGTCATCAGGTGGGAAAAGGGGGACGATCGCTTGCGTTGCGATCGAAACGTCGTAGTTTTTCGTTTATTTAATTGTTTTTAACCCTTACCGAGAGACCCAAAGAATAGGCCACTTTATTGAACCGCGTTTCTAGGTTGTTGTCGTTGTCGACCGCACTATTTACATCACACTATTGTAGCTGAATTATTGAGATGTATTATGTTCCGACGAAACAAGAAAACAATGGAACACTGTCACGTGAACAGCTCAAGACAAATGGAGCAGTGTTTGGCAGTATCTCGGTGCATGCGTCCCTATGAGCATTGTCGGCTGTTGAACCGACGGGAGAACAGAGATTACCAAATGTTTAAATGCGGAACGTGGCGAGACAAGCAATCTGAAGTGGCGTAAACCCCGACACACGGCTGCAACAAAGGTGCACCAAAATAGTCACAATGCGCTCTGTGCATTTTGCCAAGGAGCACATTACCCGTATCTTTTTGAAGGCCGCACAATAGCTCTTGAAGAACTTTTACATTGATGGTTAGAGATGCGACGAATCCATTGCGTCTCACGTGCAGAGAGAATTGCATATCCCTTGTTTCCATAGGAACTTGGTGCAATGCTTTCAACGGGTTTGAATAATTCCAGCGGCAAAACACTCTTGTTAGGGCACATTTAGTTTCCAATTTATATATTGCTGGGACAACGTGGGTTCACCGGGTACACCATTATTACGCTTTTAAAGCTCTCGACTAATGCACCAGGATGCAAGTAGCTGTAAATTCCCTAACCATAATACAAAGGGTAAACATACAATAGCAACAAGCTTGCGACATCACAAATTGTCATTGGTTAAGAGAGGTTTGTCATCATTTGAGTGTTTCTCAACTGCAGCAGACTTTCTGCAATTAAATATGAATGTCACTTCTTCTTCTGGCTGACGTAGGTGTAGAGCAAAACACGAAAATGTTACATTAAGGCAGTTGAGTCAGACAAATATTTGCATTAGGAGTAAATAGAAGAGTGTATCGCTGTGATGACGTCTCCTTCGTATTTGTGAATCCGGCAAAGAGGCATCATATGTTCCATGGTCTGTTGTGGGTGACGACAGTCGCACACCAGAGAATATGGCACAATTACCGAAGCAGGACCGATTTTTGCATAGCGATGTAAAAGCACAATTGAATGAAGCTTAATTAACATCTTCATCATATGCGTAACGACATAAATGAGCCGTTCTCGGGCGATAGTGGGTGTACTATACACAAGGGCTCACTAGAGGGCAGATTCCAGATGCCATTGAGATCGGGCCAGGACATGACAGTTTGGGTGAAGCCGCGAGAGCACGTGACCGCACGAGGGGGCACGGGGACCCCCAGAAGGGGGCGAGCGGGCCACGTGATGTGGACCCAGAGTCTCCGCGAAGGATCGAGAAGGGGGCGTGACCAGGGGCGGTCACGCCTCAGGAGATATCAGCCGAGTCCCGAGAGGGAGCGTGACTGTTCAACCCGTCACGCACCCTGGGGGGGGGAGGGGTCAGACATTTGTGACGATGTGTGACAAGGGAGGGGGGGGGTGAGAAATGTGACGTCACATCAAAATGTGCAACTTTAAATAAATATAGACAATACGTTCTACTTAATTAAATAGACGTTTTAATAAATGTTTTCTCCTACAACATCAGAGTACAGTGCCACATTAAATACGCACTACAATGACAATAGTTTAAAGCGATTTGATGCATGTTTTATTTGGGGGGGGGGGGGCAGAGCTTTGTGACGTCATATTTGAGGGGGGGTCTGACTTTTTGTGACGCCGTGTGACGAAGGGGGGGGGTCAAAAATCGTCCAAAATCGCGTGACGTCATTTATGGACGGCCCCTCACCACCTTACGTAGTTAACCCGTAATGTACATAGTCGCTCTGAATGTACATAGTTAACCTTGGAACGTAGAGTCGTGTTGGTTGTGCTAGTAAATAAACGTGTTGCGTCCAAGTCTTGGTGTGCGCCTGATTAGAACCCAATAAATATGTACAATGGCTGCCGGCCATGGCAAATTGGATTTTGCAATAAACCGGCCGAAGGACATCAATTACTCGTTCAAAGACAAAGACATTAGGATTTGAATAATGTCTGATGTTCATCTTCCAATTCTTTAAAACTTGCATTTTTTTTCATGACGCTGTGTTTAAAGTGATTCTGGGTACTAAATGTGTCCCAAACTTATTTCTCACCGCGTGTTTTTTTTTGTCTTTTCCCCACATCATTTCCCATCTCACTCACATGGTCAAAGTTAAACCGAGTCTGATACCATCAGACTCGGAAGACAGATAGCGTCAATTTTCTAAAATCACTCAAAAGTAACAACAGCAACATTTTAACGCTAAACCATGAAAATGGAACACAATAGTCTACTCGAGCGAATGATGTCGGTGCTACCAGACTCAGCTGGCAGCGAGTTCGCGGTGACACATAACGCCTTCATCAAGGACCATTTTGCCGCCATCACCACTCACTGCCATAACAATCACTTCGCCCGAGAACACAAACATCACCATGGCAGCTACACGAAGGTGCATTTTGTTAGAAACGTTCATTCTGTCTTTCGGATAAATGTGAAGCGATTGAATGAATGTATTATGTTGAACCTTTTTT